ATTGATCGATAAAATGGACGGATGAGATTAGTTTACACGGTTCACACAAATGGTTCAAGTTTTCATTTGAACGCTCCTCTATATATATATATATATATATATATATATATATATGTATATGTAAGGGGTAGTGAATAATGAATCAAGTGATTTAAGCATGGCTAGATTTTTATCAACATGAGGTTGTTTGGATGTGTTTTTTAAGTTGTTATTGTCAAATAATTAAAGTAAAACAATCAACTATAATAATTTATTAAAGTTAAAAGAATAGTCGGATAATTGTATATTTATTTTTAAAAAATCCAGTCTTGTTTTAACAACTCAAGGGACATTTTAGTCATTTTACACATTTCATAAGTGTTACAAATTTGAAGAACTTTTTGTTTTTTTTATTATAAAAGATTAACCACTAATTGAACTGAATGCAACACTATCATTTATTTTGATGCGTAAAAATTTAGTACATCAAAACATATTGAATGCAACAATTTACTGGTTTACCTGGTAAGAGTCACCATCCTCAATTACAGGGTAAGAATCTCCATTCCTTCTCATCGCTCTTACCTGGTAAGACTTTTGGCCCTTCTCATGTTCATCCGATTAAGAAATTAATCCGGTAAGCACTTACCAAGTACGAGTTTAGTAAACGGCCCCTTAATCTTTATATATATAGGGGACGTGTATGATAGAACTTACAAATGCATTGGTTGATGTTTTTTTGTTTTATGTTACAAATTATATATTTTGTACAAAAGGTTTATATTAAAATTTTAGATATTCTGCGTTTCTTTCATAGACGTCTATACTTTGAAAAACATCGTTCCTGAAAAAATAACAGAACATACATACTCATATATCGAAAGCTCAATGAAAACATTCAAACCAAAAAACCAACCAAACGAGAACGTTCAAACCGAATTACTGACTATTATTTAAAATACTATTTGTCACATAAGAACAATAATAAAAGTACAATATAATCGGAAAAATATCTAGAAGTACAGAGGGAACCATTCAAACATATGGACTTGAAACATTCCACGTTTTCTCGAACACTTTTTCATAACCGATTGTAGAAATAATTTCTCAAAGACCTTTACTGCAAATAAATGGGTATTTTAGGACACCCAATCATTCTTGGATGTCATAATGATACATTTAATGTGAGTCGAAAAGAAAAATTTATGTTTTATTGGGTTATCTAATTTCGTTTAGAACTTATTGGATCGTCTTATTTCGTGCTAACAACTTATTATAACGTTTTTAGATAAGACGTTTAATTTTGATCCTGTAATTTCAAGAGTCAAATTAGGACACGTGAAACCGAATTGTCAAATATCAAAATACGAGGGTAACACTCACCAACACTAGTATTTGATGAGCGTCTTAAACTTTAATATAACACCCCTAAAGTGGAAGTAAATTTAAACCGAAAAATAAATACGGAAATAATCCATGAATAAATATAATCACCCAATGAATGGGGAAAATGTATGCGTTTACAATAATGGATACGAATGTTAGCTAACAACCTAATAATCTAAATCAAACAAGGTAAAGATTAACATCGAGTGTCGCTACAACCATCTAAAGAAATATATTCAAGACATTTTATATATTCAAATCAAAATGACCCTTAGAAGGGAGTAAAATCTCAAAAGATGTCGGGAGAGACCCGATTCACCATGGATGGTGACGAAACACGATAGTAAGCCACATTTCAATTTTATATAAGCGTCACTTATGGATAGGCAAAAAATCAAGCTCAACTCTTCAAGTCTTTCAAATTGGGATTTCCACAATCCGAGTTAAACTAATTCACTTAGAAATTACACAGTATTGGTCGTTGGTTGGTGCCCGACTCCAAAAGTCCACACCTTATCGCCTATTAAAACCAATTTCTATTTCAAGTTACAAGCAGGGAGTGTCATCCTGAATATGTCAATAAGACCGACTTCTATGCTTATAGATCCATTGCATTCTAATCATAATTATATATCTAGATATATCAACTTCACTCGCTAGAGATGCCCTTGTATATGAAAATCCATCAAGTGGTTATAATCACGTTTTTATCAACAAGATCTCAAATATATGATACTTTTGAAATAACCCTCTCCTAAGTATTTAAAACCATTCGTCACTCTTCTTTTATCAAAGATATGAAAATCCTCAGAATTTTCATATTTTTTTTTACGTAAATGGTTCAAAATCAACCAAATGTGAAATATTGAAATAAAAGCTTTAGGAAACTAAAATACTTCATTTTCACATGCATATGACTTTTTTTATTAACCTGGATATCCAACCCCGCTATACGAACCGACTAATTCCAGGGCGACCATCTGCTATGCAGATAGTCCGGAGTCACCGCATTTGAACTTCCGTGGCCACAAGGGGATTTTTATTACTCCTTAGATTTGAACTTGAGACCTCCTGATACTTTTGACATTTGGAGCCAAGCTCAAACTAATCAGACACCACCCTTGTGGTTAATGCATGCAAACACAAAGGATGAACTCACAATATAGGTTTTGGTTGAAAACCTAGAAATCACCAAAGTCCTTGAAATGAAGATGAGGAACTTGACTAGTGAACTCTAGACTTGGATCTCTAGCTAGATGATGTACAATCCTTCTTGAATGCTTGGAGTGCCTCAAGGAAAACGGATTTAATGATGGGAATGGTGAGAGGAGAAAGGGAGAAAATGGTAGGTGAGAAGTAAATGATTCAGGCTTGAAATTGCACGTTTATACATCCCTGCTCCATTCGGGTAATCCTGACACGCGATAGTGACGCTGGGCATTATCGTAACGTGAGTTTCAGCCCCTTTCTTGCGATCCTAGCAACCCTGCCCTGCTATAGTGCCCCTTGGCACTATCGCTGGACACTATAGCCAGTCTTGTATCGAGAATTTTTCCTATAATTCATCTTCTTACATTTAATACTAAACCTGTTCTTTTTATTTATCTATAATATTTTAATTAATCGTTAATTTTAATGATGAAAAATCAGAAAACTACACATTTTTTGTTTGATTTATATAAAATATTTAGATACGTTGTTTTGTTTTTTTATAACACCCCACTTCACCAACGATGTTCAGGATTTCATCCAATCCGAAAAAATCTATAAAACCAAAACAAATTAATTGCTTCTTCTTTTTTTTTTTTGAAAAATTGCCAAATCAGTCTTATTAATTTAATCAAGATTTTGGATCTCAAAATCGATCAAATGAGAGCATAAAAAACTTAAATATCCATAATTAGAGTTGTTTTGTCCAAGCAGAGGAATGAAAGTGTTAATTAAATTGAAAATGATAGAAACTAAAAATAAGAAGTAAAATGATATAAGTTGGATCATCTCATATGATTAATAATTTTTTAAAAATATAGGATAACTTTTTAGTCAATAACAAGAAATCTACTATATTCTAATACATAAAAAAAATCCATGTAGATGGAATAATCAAAAGAGTGGGTGTGAGATAAATGATGAAGAATATATCAATGTTTTGCCGGTAGATAAAAAACTTGGAAAATAATAAGTAATACTATAAAATAAACGACCAATTAAATTTATATATATTTTTTTCTTCAATGTAATTGATGAATACAAGCTTGGATTTTTTACATCATTTATTTTATTTATTAATTTTTTTGCACCACTGTTATATAATTATAATACTAGAAGAGTACTCGCATAATGCAGCGAGATAAATCTTCATTTTAATGTTTAGTTTTTATTATTATTTATTGATATAATATGATTTTATGTGGTTTTGAAAATGTTTTTTTTAATGAAATATAAATTGTAAAATAGCATAAAAATAAAATAAATCGATATTAGTATCAAATTAACTATTTAATAATTCTTGTTTTTTAATGTAACTTTTTTAATTTAATTTTTTTATTATACGATTAATTTAGATTTAATAATAAAGTAATTTATTTTTGGTTTAATAATTAAATTTTTTATAAAGATAATAATTAAATATTCTGTTAGAACTCAATGATTGTCTTAATTATAATTTAAATTTATAATATTTAAAATGAGTGTTTATCATTATTTGATTATATTTATCTACAGTTAGTTATACAAATTTAAAAATGGAGTTTTAATAAGTTGTATTTATGTAAAATTAATTGTAATCTTAAATTTTAAGTAATATGCATAAATAAACAGTATTTTATGCATAAAAAATAATTTTTATAATTTTTTATCAAATATTTTATAATATAGTATAGATATATTAAAAATATTTGGACCCTTATTTGGTTTTGGATGTGTGTCCGACCCGTTATCCCCCTAAAGATGGCCCGACCGATATGAGGGTTTTATATGAGTGCTTAATTAATAAGGGGAAAATGATATAAAAAATTAGGTTTATGGTATAATATTTAATGATGGTAAAAATAAATAAAATAAAATAAAAATTACAAATTCTAACAATTTGAGCAGCTCTCAGGTAACCCTTAATCGGGAAAATGAGGGCACAAAATAGAAACCGCACAAAGCTCTACGGATTTGTCGTCGTCGTTGAATTTTGGTGGTAGAACTCGACATCTCCGCCCCATCGGAGTTGCAGCCCCCTTTCTCCTACAACGGATCACCATTTCTCTCTGTAATTTTCCCTTATTATTATAATTCATTCATCGCTATCACCACTTGTCCATGCGCATATATCCCCGTTTTTATATTAAAAAATGTTTCAGAACTTTTCTTGATTGTTTATTCCAAGAAACAAAACAAGTAGCAAAAAGCCATTGTGGATTACGGAAGAAATTGAGGGCTTCCGGCACATTTTTCGGTATTTGAAGATCTAGGGTTTCTGGGTATTTTTGATAAGGCAGGTCCTGTGGAAATTTTTGGGAGAGAGGTTAGGATACCAATGGCTCAAAATGGACAGGGGATCAGCCCTGCCTTACTGGATGATATAATCAATCGGCTATTGGAGTTCAGGCAAGCCAGGACCGCTCGGCAGGTTCAGCTCTCGGAGGCGGAGATCCGTTTACTTTGTACCACTTCTCGGGAAATCTTCCTTCAACAGCCTAATCTGTTAGAGCTCGAAGCTCCCATTAAGATCTGCGGTATTCAAATTCGACTTTTTCTCTGTATCCATATTATCTGTGATTGTTTTGCTGTTTTGTTTCTTGTGTCTCATGTTTTTGCTGTTGGTCGGCAGGATCTTATCGTGTTTTGGTTGGATTTATTTTGGCGTTATTTATTTTGTATAGGATTCAAAACTAGATTTCTGGATGGTTGTTTGTATGAGATGTTTACTAGGTTTATTGATTTGTTGTGAATGGGTATTTTAGTTTCATGCTATTTCATCTGTTCATCAAATTTATTGGCCATTAATTTATGGGATTACATCTTGTGTCTAGGGGATCCAGGGCTTTTTCACCTGTTGCTTTGATAGATCTTTTACTAGAAATTTTTTATGAATCAGTATCGTATTATAAAAGTTGCTGGATTTGATTATGTAATTGTAAGACTTGATTGGGCATATGGAATTTGGATTACCATCAGTGTACTTGCATTTTGTGCATCATTTGCAACTATTGTAGTTGTAGATTGATATCCTATAGAAGTTTTCTGTTGTTGAGGAGTCGACTGTAATCACATGTGTGTTTGATAACGGAGACTCCAATGACACCAACTATATAAGTTGATATTTGATATGGAGTGAGATGAAACTTAATAGGGAGTCAGAGATGATTAACGTCTATTGATGAATGCTTTGACTATGTTATGATCATTGGCTAAAATGGTAGCTATATGCTTTAAGGTTGTAACCGCCATAAATCATGCTAGAAAGCTGTTGAAAGGTGGTAAGTCTGTACTCTATGACACAGATGACATAACGTGATTTATAGGAGTACATTGGCTATATTTGTCTTACCTATATGTTTTTGTGGCATACACATCTTCATCCCTTGTTTTTATATTGTTTAACATGCCTTCTAGATATGTAGAACAGAAAAATGAATTCACAAAATGGATGGTATATCTTGCATGTACCTCCTTTAATCAAAATTGATGAACTCCGTTCATGCATTTGTCCTATGCTCAAGAGTTTATTCTTGAGCTCAGGCACATAGAATACATCACCAACTACACAACATATCCCATTTATCTCCATTTTGACACTCCCAATTCCCAACAACAACATCCTTGCGTTATTTTTCAAGTTTCACTGTTTGTAAGAAAGTCTCGTCTGCACATATGATCGCTACACCCCTCTCTTTCTCACCTGTGTCCTCAACATATGCCATCAACACCATCTCTTCCTTCTCATAAAGTTCAAAGTAATTTGCTTGATTTCCCATGAATGGCATTCTTCTGGAAGTGACCAAGTTCGCAAAAAATCAATGGTGGATGTGTCAAAAGGTGGTTTTCCTCTCCCACCGAGGTCTTGGTCCATGCCTGGGTAGCTTTCTCTTCCTTCGTTGGACTCTTTGATCATCTTAAACACTTATTCTTCCATGGTATCATGTTTCTTCAGCTTTTACTCGTGCACCTGTAGTGCGCTTTGCGGCTCATCGACTGTGAGTTGACGATGTCCTTATATTATTTGGTTGGGCACACAATGAAATTGAAGTTCTATGTCAGTGTTCGAAGAATTTCTTCCACAATCTTAACATCATTCATATCTTCTTCCAATTTTGACGACTCTTCTAAAATAATCTGTCACCACCCCCACCCCTTTCACCTCCAAGGCTTTGAAAGACATCTGCTAAGTCTTTGTAGCTGAGGCCGCTTCACTCTTGCATTTCCCTCGTACTTCGCTTTTCATCGAATCCCATATCCTCTTTGCAGTCTCCTTTTGACTTTTGAGTGACGGTTTTCAGTATTGATTTATCAACAACTTGGAATAGGTAGTTCTCGCTTTCATGTCTTTGAGCTATGCTTCATTCAGGGCTTTTTGCTGCTCTGGGGATATTGCTTCAGTGGTTGTTGGTTCTTGGTAGCCTTCATCGACCACACTCCAATATTCCTTCAAGTGAAGCAAGTTCTCCATGATCAAACTCCAACAATTGTAGTCTTCATCCAACTTTGTCACACGTGGGACTGTGAAATTACTTGATTCAGCAGCCATCTCTCGTACTCTTTCCTTTCTCACACACTCTTGTTTTATCTCTCAATCTTGTATTCTTTATCACACATTCGACCTGCCCCCTCTCTATGGCCTCAAAACCTCAGTTTATTCTTCAAAGAACCAGACATTTTATAGCCTTTTACAAAACAGAAAGAGGAGAAATCCTGCTAACCTATTCTACGGAGTTATTATAAACAACTAATAAAAGAATGCCTTAGGAATAGGACTCCTAAAGACCTGGTAAAACAACGGCTAGAATACAGTTTGGTTTCAGACAGAACCAACAGAAACTTCCACTGCTTCCATGCCATGTGTGTGTTGTAACTAGGAATCAAGTCATACAAGAACGTTGGGGAGAGTGGGTGATACCAGATGAAGATTTGCTGAGGTAATGCCACTTGAATTTCTTTCCCTATCATCTCTGGTCTATACCTTTGAAACACCAGTTAGAAGAGAACTTGTTCCACTGTGAAGTTGTTAGGCAGTGTTCTTAAGTGAAGATACATGATTGAGGATCCTTCTAGCACTTAATCGGTTAAAAATCAAGCAGTCCAAAATCTTAGTACATGTGTTTTTTTTAACTTAAACTAGTTCCTAGGTGGTCACAAGCAGTCCAAAATCTAAGTACATATGTTGTTTAGATCAACAATAAAATATGACAACCACAGTTTTTGATGCTCAAAACCACACATAAATTTGGATTTTTGAAGAAGGATGCATGAAAAAACCAATTGAGGGAAATACTTTTTTTTTGGCTGAGTCAAAGACACAGATTGGGATCAAGTTACAATCACGCTCTGGTTCAGTGGTTTTATAGCTGATTGATTACATTTGTGCTGGATAGGAAATTGAATTGGATCTGATTTAGGCTTAAAAATTGTATTAATACCAACACACTTGATGCATATTAGTCCGGTTAAGGCCACCTTGGCTGACCAATCCCATAATCTGGCTTAATAGTTGAAACATTTATTTTTATGATTAGGTTAGCAAAGTTGTAGGACGGTGCTTAGCGCTAAAGACACTTAAGTGGCCTTTTAATGTATTTTCAGAACACTTCTGTGCTGAGAGATCATCCAAGTTTAACATTAAGTATTAAAAGCAGATTCAAGTGTTTGTAATATATCAGGACCATTGGCCTTAGATAAGAGTGCATGGGAAGATGTTCATGTCCTGGGATCCTAGGGGGATTCCTTCTTTATGTCATCTTTTGGGTTTCGCCACTGTAACTTATTGTGGGTTCCTTTTTAGCCTACTCCAATTTCTTTCATCTAAATCACTTAAGTGAGAATAAGAACTTCCATTCCTTAAAAAAACAGTGCCACATGTTCCAGTCTATTTATTTGTTGTCATGCTCATTGCAGTAGACAGTGAAACTTGAAATATACTCTTCCAAACAAAACAACATTGGCTTAGATGACGATTTAAGGTATCATTTGGTCATATGACAACTATACTGAGCGGAATTTGTAACCAAACTGTCTACTTTCTGAAGAAAAGCAAAGGGCTACATTATTCTTGTTCCGATAAAGCATTTGTATGAATTGACTATATCACCATCTGAACACTGAAATGATGAAAACACACTACGTAGTGATTGATTTTAAATTGTAACTAATGAGCTGTGACATCCCATAGCAATGTGAAGTCAAGTGGACCGCTAAGCAGTCACTTGTGGTTAAATTTATGATAGTTTCTTCTTGGATGCTTATGTGATTTGAACTATTGTATGATTTACCTCTATTTGCTGGCTTATTTAGTTTCCATTTTATCTGAACTATTGTATGATTTACCTCTATTTGCTGGCTTATTTAGTTTCCATTTTATCGTGCATGTCTATATGGGCCTGCAGTGCAAGATGGACTTGAAGTCATCATCCTTAGATTCTTCGAAGTTTAGTGGTATGACATTTGTCTATTTTGAATTCCAGGTGACATTCATGGACAATATGGCGATCTCTTAAGGTTGTTTGAATATGGGGGATTTCCTCCAGAGGCTAATTATTTGTTTCTAGGGGATTATGTGGACCGTGGCAAACAGAGTCTGGAAACCATATGCCTTTTGCTTGCCTACAAAATCAAATATCCTGAGAACTTCTTCCTCTTGAGAGGAAACCATGAATGTGCTTCTATCAACAGGATATATGGATTTTATGATGAATGTAAACGCCGTTTCAATGTTCGACTTTGGAAAACTTTTACCGATTGTTTCAATTGTCTTCCTGTGGCTGCTCTTATAGACGACAAAATACTATGCATGCATGGGGGTCTTTCTCCTGATCTAACTAGCCTAGATCAGATACGGAACTTGTCTCGTCCAACTGATGTTCCAGATTCTGGTTTGCTTTGTGATTTACTTTGGTCAGATCCTAGTAGGGAGGTTAAGGGATGGGGAATGAATGATAGGGGAGTCTCCTACACCTTTGGCTCTGATAAGGTGGCCGAGTTCTTAATGCAACATGATATGGATCTTGTTTGTCGTGCTCATCAGGTAATTTGTAACAAACCTTCTCACATGGATAGAAAATTAAAGTTGTGGACTTCTTGTAAGTTTAAAGTTTGCAGACTACTAATTACTCCATCATGGTTTTAAGTTGATTTGGATGTTATTTGGCTAGTCTGCTGCTTTGGGCTATGGGGGTGTTGCACATAGTTTGACTTTATATAGTCCCATTTATCTCATGCCGAGATCCTATATGTAATATAAAATTTTCTTTGTGCAGGTTGTGGAAGATGGGTATGAATTCTTTGCTGATAGACAGCTTGTTACTATATTCTCTGCTCCAAATTATTGCGGTGAATTTGACAATGCTGGTACGATGATGAGTGTTGATGAAAGCTTAATGTGTTCTTTTCAAATTTTGAAGCCAGCTGATAGAAAACCTAGATTTTTATGACGCGAGCAAGACATGAATTCTGCTCTGTTGGTGAACCTACAATTTTAAGGTCAGTATCAATAATTTCTTTTCCCTGCCACAGAATATTTCCTGGTGTGAATGGTGAGGTTTTATGGTGTGCCATATTATGTTTTGTGTTGCTATGCGGTATGATGGTTTTTTGCCCTTTTCGATGATAGTTATTGAATATCTACTTGTTATCCTGAAAATGTACATGCCTGGTTAATTGGATTGCTCTTTTATATGCTATCATAAGTTGGTGACTTTGTAGTTTTTCTCATTTTTTTTTTTCTCATTGTGGACTTCATACATATAATTAAGGGCAAAATTCATCAAAATTGCAACAAAGTTTGGTTTAGTTTCTATTTAGTGTGAAGAAGAATTTTTTTTCTCAATCGATGTAACAAAGTTCAAAATTTTCTGTTGTGTAACCTTTTTGACTGTTAACCAGTGGATGACGTGGATACCCATTTATGAAAGGTTTACAAAATGTTTACATGAACCGGACGATAAACTTGACATCCACGATATCAAATTTTACATGATCTGTAGGTTATCGTTCAAATTGCATTAAAAATAGAAAACTTTGGAACTTTGTTATATTAAATAGGAAACTTTGTTATATTTGAGGAAAAAAAATTATTACACTAAATAGGAAATAAGGTAAGCTTTGATACATTTTGATGCCTTTTGCCCTATAATTAACTATATTTGTCGTATGAAACTTTTAGTCCTCTGGCATTGCTGCATTCTATGGCTGAATCTTCTTCACATAGCAGTTTGCCGTCAGGAGCTAGTATTTTTGGTTAGTGAGTGCTGGGCGTCTATAATCGAAGAAGAATGTGATTCTTATTATTAGCATCACAATCTGCAGAGTGATTGTGTCATACAGTCGGATCTCTTAAGCTAGAACCCACCTTTGATTCCAATCACAACCTCATTGCGTGTTCTTTTCTATTTGGGTTCACATAAAATTTTGACTTTCTGCTTTGAACCAAAATTCTATGTGTGGAGGGGCAAGCCTCAGAGGAGAAGGTCACATGCTTGTTTTCACAGGAACACACTCATTGCAAATGCGACACTAGAATGAAATCGACTTTATAGGATGTCAAATATGGCTAAATGTCATAATAGATTGTTTTATAGGACCTAAGTTCATGGGTACAAATTAATGTGCCTCCTAGCAAATTCTGATAGGACACTTTTAAAATAAAGCGTCCTATTAAACCTTTTTATAGGATACTTTGTTTTTGTAAGACACATTTTCAAAGAATATCATATGAAACGACGTTTTATTTCAAAATTGTTATAAAAAACTTGTTAGAATGCCTAAAAACGTTCTATCATCTTATTGTAATACATATACAGAAGGCGCACAATTGTTTGTTCTTATAACCTAAGTCTTATAAAACAGTCTATTAGGACATTTAAGCAAGGGGTTGTCAATTGTTGTATACGAGAATTTGTGTAAGCTGATTCTGAAATGTGTATTAACCTAGAATATTGCAGAATCCATTGTGGGTATTGAAGGAAAAGATCCATGAAGATTGGAGATTAAGAAGATGTTTTTGGCATTTGGAGGTTAATCTATAATATTTTATGATATTGTTGAAAAGATGTTGATTTCTAATTTGTTGGTCTGCGATTTATGATGACATTGTAAATACATTTGGCTTTGTAAATCGCATTCACAATTTCCCATCTCCTTCCTTACTTTGGGATTCTTCTTCTAATTTCTTTGGGGTTTTTGGCATCATCTGTTTAACGAGTCGAGTTCGGTCGGAGGTTATTCGAGCTCGGCTCGAAAATATATTACCAAGCTGGACTCGCATGTTCAATGTTGAGCTTGAGATCGATATTCGTTTACGAGCATGAACTCGAGGTCGATTAGCTCACTGATTGGCTCAACCTCAATAAGTTTTATACTTGTATTATATGATTTGTGGGTATGTGAACATGTTTGTCTTGAAAACGTGTATACTTGAATTCTACCCCATGGAAATTGGTAAATTTCAAGCCAAAAAAACAGAGCATTGGGAATGTGTTGCACATTCTCATTTTTTTTTTTTTTTTGAGAAAGGATAATGTGTCTTTCAAGCTGTATTTGATACGTGGGATAGGACAAGACAAGATTCATTGTTCCATGTTTGATGTGACATAAAACAGGACAAGAATTTGTTGTCCCACATTTGGTACGATATGTGACAGGAACAAGGTGGGACATAGTGGAACAAGAAAAGTATTTTTCAAGTTCCAAGAAAATAGGTGGAACAAAATATGCCAAGAATGAAAAAAACCTAAAATATTACCAATTAACTCTCGTTTGATATATAGCCTTGACATAAATTTTGTTCTAGTGGTCGCTACCGCTAGTTGCGGCCGCCAACACCACTGTCAGCCACCTCCACCATCATTGTCAACCACCGACCGTCTATCACCACCTCCACAACCACCATCGGCCACCGACCACCAGCGTCCATCGTCATTACCACCATCTCTACATTCTCTTCTACTATAACAACCTCCTGCACCACCTCCACAACCATCATCGGCCATCAACCACTACCATTGTTGGCCACCTCCACTTTCTCCTCTACTACAACCTCCTTCATGACCTCCACAACCATCATCGGCCACCTACCAACACCGTTCATTGCCATTACCATGAGCTACCTCACCACCACCATCGACCACCACTCCCACTACGCACCACCACCACTAGCTACCACTGTCACCGTCGGCCACCACTACCACTATCTACTATATTCACGTTGGCCACCACCACTGCCCACCATCATACCTACCGCCGTTACATGGCCACAATTACCACTCCACCACTATCCACCATCTTATAAGAAAATATAACAATATTTGTTGGGTAATTTATGCGTTTTAAAAAAATTAGTAAAAATTAGAAATCTTCACGAACAATCATATTGTTTTAAGGGTTGACACGGTAGATTGTGTTTATGGTTTATGAGAGTAGAAGTGTTTTATTTTATAAAGTAAAATCATGACATTTGGTCCTAAAACGGTAAAAAAAATCAGTTTAAATTGTCCCTTGTTTATTAAAAACACCACTTAATCGATATACACTAAAAGACAAAATAGTGGTTAAAAATAAAGGATGGATCGCCCTGGGGATAGATCCCGTGAGGTGGGGGCGATCTCGTCTATCGAGGTAAATAGGGATTAGTTTCATAAAGTAGATACATGTGCACCCCACCAAATTAATTTTTTATTTTTTTTGTACTATTTGGTCAAATATAAAGAGGATCGCCCCATGGTCAAAACATGCCCCCTCGGGGGCGATCCATATTGTTATTTTCGTAAAACATAACTATTTCGTTAATACATCAGGTATATTCTGGTCGTTTTGATGATTTTTCCTTTAATTTATTTGAATGTAACCATCTTTATAATTAGGTTAATATTGATAAAATACACATGCTTACTTTGTTGAATTAAAAAAAACCTATTATTCACAACCACTAGATTAATATTCATCAATGTTTATTAAAAAAATTCATTGTTTTTTATGGGTTTCTTATCATAAATAATTACATCGAATAAAAAGTTTTATTTTTTAGTTATTTTTAAACTTTTTCTTCATAAAACAATCAGAAAACCGTAAATTAACGTTACAAGACATTTTTTTTGAAAGTGCACAAATTAGGGCATGTCCTTGCGATTCCGCAAGCTGCGACTTTGATTATTTTTTATACGTTAAAGCATGTCCTTGTGGTGCGACAAACTACAATGTATCAGGTTATTTTTATGGTAGGGCACTTATGCACTAGAAACCGTAATAAAAAGTATTTTCTTAACTATTTTTATAATTGTTTTAAAGGTAATTAAAAAATAAGGATAATAACCCCTCTTTTCAACCCACTCCAATACATAAAAGGATGCTTAAGGGTGCGTTTGGTACGTTGGACAGGGTGGGACAGGACAGGACAGAACACAATTGTCCTATGTTTGGTGTGGTTTTATGTGGGACTAACTAGAACAAACTAGAACAAGGGTGGGACAAGGTTGTCCACCCTTTACCCATAGAACTAAGTAGAACAAGAAACTTTTTACCACTTTACCCTCAAAAACCTCATACGCATACCTTCCTTCTTCCCCTTCACTCTCCTCTCCTCCATCGATTCCACCGCCCAACCGGCGTCCGGTGACGGCGACTTCCGATGGCCGCCGCCGCTGCTTCTCCCGATGGCCGCCGCCGCTGCTTCTCCGATGGCCGCCGCCGCTGCTTCTTCCGATGGCCGCCGCCACTGCTTCTTACAGCAACTACATCACGAATTTGAAGGAACTCTTCAAATATCTTTCTTCTTATTTCATGCAATTAAGGAATTATATTTTGATGGTGGTTTCGTACTCGATTTCGCCAACAACTTGATTAATTGAAGTACTTATTAKGGATTTTAATGAAGTATTATGATTTATTTCGAGAGTTTACATTGATTATGATTGCTGAATGTTGTTGTTGTTGTTGTTGTTGAATTATTAGGGCTRTAGTGGTAGTAGGACCAGTGTTACCAGAATGCATTTCGTWGTGAAAAAACACTAAACAGCTCACTGGGGGTAAATTGGTCATTTTAACCAGTTCTATCCTGTCCTGTCMTGTCTTACCAAACGTTGAACAGCTGTCCTGTCCTGTCCTGTCCCGTCCTGTCCTGTCCTGTCCTGTCCAGTCCTGTCTGCGCACCAAACGCACCCTAATGGTCATCCACATTCCACAGTACCATAATTGGAGCTAAATTTTAAAAAGAAATTACTTTTTAAAAAAAAACATTTTTTAAAAGTGAAATATCTCAAAAGAAAAAGTGAAATAAAGTTACTTCTTGTAAAAATTGTTTTAAGTTTTTATCATTAATTTATAGGTTATTTTATCATGAATTTATAGATCAATTTAAACTTGATGTTGAAAAATAAATCTAAAACCTTAAAAAATAAACTCCAAATAAAAAAATATTAGTTAAGAACATTTAGGGGTCGTTTACCAAAAGCTTACCCGGGTAAGTACTTATCAAGTAACATTACCTCACATGATGAATATAATAAGGATCAAGAATCTTACCCGGTAAAAGCGAGACAAAGACCAAGAGTCTTACCCGGTAAGTGAGGGCGACGACTCTTACCACGGTAAGCGCTTACCGAGTAAATTGTTGCATATGATGTTTTGGTGGACTAAAATCTTACCCGATAAGTAAATAATAATGTTAAATTTTATCGGTAAACATTTACCGGGTAAGTGTTTGGTAAACGGCCCTTACTTGGTGGAACCTTCAAGAACTTTACTTGTCATATTTTTGTCACATCAATAGAATAAAAACCTCAATAGAACTTCACAACGAAAATTCTTACAAAAATCAAATATAGTTTTTTTAATTCTTACTGTTCTATATTAATTTTATTTGTTAACTTATAATATTATTAGTTTTATATTACAATTAAAAAAAAGGCAACATTACATATGGAAAAGTCATTTTATAATTATTAGTTATTAATTTATAAATAAAACAATTAAAATATAAACATAATCTTATACTATAATTAAAAAAGTGTAAAATTACGCAATTATTAATCTTTATAAAAAGTAATACTAAATAATACATAGTAATATAAATTACTTCTAATCTCGATTCGACCAAATATGTTCAAGCAAGTCGGATCGAAGTTCACGATGAACATCATTTGAATGCATCTTAGAATTTCAGTAAAAATATTTATGGAATTCATAGTAGAAGTTTGAAATATGTGCGTCGAATTTTTACCTTTTCAACAAAATAATAAAATAATGTAAGGAGATAATTAAAAATTAAACTTATTAATATAAAAACTTGTATAAAAATTTATAAGAAAAAATATTTTATAATAGTTAATTAATTAATTTCTTTTATCAATTTTAACATATATTTTTTATAGATTTATTAAAAGAAAATAAATGGTTAAAAAACAATAAAAATAATAAATAAAAAGATAAAAAAGGGAACATATATAAAAACCCGAGTTCTTATTCAAGTGTTTGGGTTATAAAGAACATGTTTATTGATGCATGTTACTTAAAATTCAAAATTACAAATAAAATGTGTTCAAGTACAACTTATTAAAGCTTTATGTTTGAATTTGTGTAAATAACTGTAGATAAACATAATCTAGGGGATAAACATCTCATTTTAAAATATAAAAAAATCTAAAATATAATCAGAATAATCATTGAGTTCTAACAAAACACTTAATTATTATATTTATAAAAAACATATTATTAAACCAAAAATAAAAAAATAAATTAAAGAAGTTTACAAAAAAAAAAGATAAATTTTAAATAGTTAGTTTTTCAATTCATTATGATATCTTCATATTTATATTTTATTCAAAAAATAAAAACATTATCGATTTCTTAAAACCATATAAAACCGTATTATAACATCGACCGAGATAAAAAAAACGAAACATTAAAATCAAAATGTATTTCGCTGCATTGTACGAGTACCCTTCTAGTTAATTTAAAATAAGAGTGTAATGTTTTTCACTAATTGAATTGAGTTATCAACCAATAATGGTTGGGTTGGCATCTTACTTTAGCTTTAATGATATGTCATAAGCAATTGTCTTGTACCACACACATGCTTTTCTGCATCACCATTATAGACATCAAACAAATTGTCCTTTGTGTTGAGTTGTAATCTATATTATAATTATTAATTAACTACTACACTATTAAAGATTGGTTTATCATTGTGAGAGACATTAGAGAGTGTGTAAGTATGTGTTTTTGTTTCAAACTCTCTGGTGGGAGGAAGAAGGCCGATGGACCGGTCTCGCCAGACATGTCTTCTGTTGGAGGAGGTGGTGGGAATGTAACGAACCATGCTGAGGCTACTGGTAATAACCCTGGAGGTCATGAAGCTGCAAGTGCGGCGATCGTAGTGGCAGGCGCAACACATGCTTCTGATATGGGTGGGAGTGGATGTGGAAGCTCTCATGGTGGTCATGGTGGACATAGTGGTGGTGATGGTGGTGGCTTCGGTGGTTGATGACGGTTGTAGAAGCAAAAAAGGTTTTACTGCTTTTTGTATGGATATTAGCACCATTAATATTGTGTAATTTTTTATATTTTCTTTTTTAATTTATCATATGATACATTTGATTTGATTTGGTGTGTGTGTGTGTGTAAATGCTAGTATGAAGTATGAATTACCATTTACATATGTTTGATTTGTTTGTAGGATTGATTTTATTGATTTGCTTATAAAATAATGATATAAATATAATATGAAAAAGAATGTTTTCAACTATTGACTACTCTTTAGATTATTGATTTCAATGATTGATCATATTTGAATTGATGTATACTGATGGGTAGTTAATCAAATGCTTACATGTGTAAGTGTTTACCAAGTCACATTACCTTATTGGATGAATATGATAAGGACCAAAAATCTTACACGGTAAGAACGAAGACAAGGACCGAGAGTTTTACCCGGTAAGTGATGGCGACGACTCTTACCACGGTTAGCGCTTACCGGGTAAGTTATTACATACAATGTCGTTTGTTGGACTCAAATCTTACCAGGTAACTAAATGATAGTGTTGAGTTTTACCGGTAAGCGCTTACCGGATAAGTGTTTATGTAAACGGCTCCTAAGACCATGGTTTTGATGTTCAAGTTTGATTAAATTTTTTGAATATTAGTATCTATCACACAAGTAATAAAATCCAATGGATTTTTAAATATATACAAGTGTTGGTCCCGAATGAGATGACGATAAACATAAAGTAATTGTAGACAGGGGGTTGAATAATTTTACGCGGACTTTTTCAACTTTTTAATTTTTATTAATGTATATCAAGAATTAACAACATGGATACAATACAAATTGTTGCAGAAGAAGGAAAGAATAATCTAACGTAAACAATCTTACATAGTAAAAAACTTACAAGAACAACACATAGAGTAGTTGCAGGAAAATGAAAAATATTAAGGTTTTATTCACACACAAAAGAGTAGGAGAGTAGTAGAAGAGAGTCAATTACCTTGAGAATGCACTTAGAAATTCTTTCAGGGAAGCGTGGTTTGCATGAGAGATGCACTATGCTTTTATACTACCTTCATGCATTATATGCATGGGGACATTTATCACCTTAGGATAGAAAGGCAGAGGTTGACTTGATCATAGTTGTTATATCATTTTCATTGTACTCTCCGTGTACACAACACTGTTCATGTAGAGACAAACCTACTGATAAGAAATGTCTTTATCAAGTACAGGTTTTGCAGAGATATGGTCAGTTTGTAGGGAAATCTTCTTTGAATGGATTAGTAGCTTCAAACCACTACTTACACATCTCGGTGCATGGAGATCTTCTTTCAATCGGCTAGTAGCTTCAAAATATCTTCAAACTTCAAATCAACTACTTTGGAGTCTTGGTGTGTAATTTAGACAGTTGATCCACAATACCGCATCGGTGACATTCTGTCTTTATATCGGCTAGTCTTCAATTTTTCCAAGGGCTTTAAGTATGTACGAAGAAACCAATAACGACTAAATGTTAGAATAGTGAGACAGATCAGTGGGTTATCACCAAATCAACAGGTGACTCAACAAAAACTGTAATTTTAAACAAAACAACAAATCATATACTCTTATATTAAAAAAAAAAAAAAAAAAACTTTGGCCGCATTCAAAATAACGTGTAATAGATGTTTGGTAGATGCTAAATGATTTGGTTCAGAATGATTAAGAGGCTTATATAATTTAGTGTCAAATGAAAAATAAATGTTTGGTAAATATTATGAATGAAAAGTTTAAATGACAAAAATTTACCATTTTAACGTTATATATAACTTATGTCCGAACAAAATATGATTGTTTTGTATGTGTTAAAAGTTAATGAATTACCTTGCATATATATAACTTTACAAATACAAATTACAAAATAACCCATCAAGTACTATCCAAAGCAATTCAATATCAAATGGTTGTCAAGCAAATGAACAACACTTGAATGAAATAAACAGAGGGGCCGTTTACTAAAGACTTACCCGATAAGTGTTTGCCGGTAAAATTCAACACTATTACTTACTTACCAGGTAAGATATTACTCCACGAAAACAAAACCCTATGCAATAATCTACCCGATAAGCTCTTACCGTGGTAAGAGTCGTCGTCTTCACTTACCGGGTAAGACTCTTGTTCCTTGTCTCGTTCTTACCGGGTAAGATTATTGGTCCTTATCATATTTATCTGGTAAAGTAATGTGACTTGGTAAGCGCTTACTCGGATAAGCGTTTGATAAACGGCCCCTAAGAACTCTCGAGCCAGTCTTGAAACAGGCCGGACCCATTTGAACACCTTTACAGCAATATTGTATTACATGAATACATGAGATTTATTGGATGGTTTGATTTTAAATATAAAAATAAATCAGGCCCAAATAATATAGCCCGAAACTAAAGGTCTAACAGGCTAACAGTTTGTCGGTTACTTTAAGCGAGCCCATTACATCTTCGTATCCCTCTCCATCTCAGTTTACTCATCCTAACCCTATTTTTCTACGGCAATTCCTCCAAGAAGCATAATCGAAGCTTGCAGATTCTCTCGATCTCATACGCAGCCATGGGGATTGATTTACTCGGAAACGCTTCTTCTCAAAAACCCAGATGGGGCGAGCTCGAAGAAGAGGACGACGGCAGCGATTATGATTTCTTGTTGCCGCCCAAACAGGTTATTGGACCGGACGAACATGGGTTGAAGAAGGTGATAGAGTACAAGTTCAACGATGACGGTAATAGGGTTAAGATAACTACCACCACGCGCGTCCGTAAGCTCGCTAATGCTCGGCTCAGCAAGCGCGCTATTGAGAGGCGGTCATGGCCTAAGTTCGGCGATGCTGTCCGTGAGGACGTCGGCGCAAGGTTAACTATGGTTTCCACTGAGGAAATCATCTTGGAGCGACCTAGGGCTCCAGGTACGGCTTCTTTAGATCTGGAATTTTATATCACTGTGATTGACTATACATTGTTCATCATAAATCATGTGAATATATATTTAGTTGTATGATTTGTGCTTATCTGGATTGATGCTCAGATATAATTTACGTTGCAGTCAAATTATTGCTTTAAATTATGTAAAACAGTATTAGCAATCACTGTTTGCTGTTTTTGTGCATTAGCAACATAATCTCCATAATGCTAATTAAAACAAAAAGGTATTTTTAGCCTAGATGTTGCTTGATTATGTATTGAAAATTTCTTTTTATTATGTGGAAAAATTCCCCTTCGTTTGTTAGATATACAGATTATGATCAACCTCTTTTACTTTTTTTTGGGTTGTCTTCGAGGATTGCAGGATGTGCTCTTTAGGAGTAAAGCATATAGCATCAGTAATGGAAATTACAATAAAGTGTACATCTAATATCAAAAGAGTAATTACAATGGTAAAACCTGATTTTTGCTTGTGATATGAGAGGATAAGCTTGATTTGAGTCAAGATGATATGGGCCATTGAAGACTTTTGATGTTGCCTTTTTCATGATCGTGATGTTCTTCAAGTCGATCTAGTCGTGAATTCCTGCTTGGTATAATTTCATCTGCCACCATCTTTTTCCAAACAATCTTGAGCATTGAGATTACGACCTTGAAGATGTCATTCTAATGTTCAGTATTTCACCTAATGACATGGAAAATATGTAAGCTTTTCTCCTAAATTTGGTCTTAGAAGACCTTTTTTTTGGGGGGGGGGGTCTTTATGCTATGTAACTCTTTTTTGATCTACCAACTCTTGAGGAATCTATGAATGATTCTTGATAATAGCTAATAGTAGTAGTGTAGGTTATAGAGATTATCACTTCCACCCATGTTTCTAGCATGTCGGCCAGCTGGCGGAGCACACTTTTGCAACCATTGGTTCAGTCTAAGAGTAATCTTTATGGATTGACTGAGAGTGAATGCAAGTTAGGAGATGTCAGAGAGCATGATGTCTATTGTAGTAGCAATGCAACCCTTGTATACTCGAAGTTGCTTTCTTCTTGAATGCATTTTGATAATTTGAATAAAATACATACTTTCTATATAGGAACTTGAACCAACTATAATAGTATATTATATATATAACAATTAACGTGTAAGCTTGATCCAGTCTTCTTCTCTTTGTGCCTTCTAATTAAGCTCATGAAGCAGGGTTTGTTTAGGCAACCTTTTCTTTTTAACATAGTTCCATAGTATGCTTGAAAGGATATACAATTTCATTCTACTGATACTTTTTCAGAAACACTGGATTTTGAGATTTTCTTATCAGTTGTTTAGTTTTATGTACAGCATTAGCATTTGTTCACTTTTCCATCTTACTGTAATGTTGTTGTGTTGGCTGTTGGGTGGTGTATCCAAGAGTCAGACACAAGAGAGGAGCGGAAATCGCCTTTGTTAGTAAACAAGACGAACTGATCAGAAATTTGCACTTCGCTGTGTCGGGCTCCTACAGCTAATTTAAATTGGTGCCATACATACTTTTAAGCACTTAGGATATAACAATCGTTTTTCTTTGCCTCTTTTGGAATGAAAATTATGATTAGTTAAAAAGCACTTGGGAAATTTGTGAGGAAAGGCTTCAACTGTTTGTGAATGATGTTCACTCTTGGCTTATGGGTATTATGTGTTGGTTATGTTAACTTTGCATCTTGTTATAGGTACCAAAGCTGAAGACTCAAATGCATCTGGAGACCCATTGGCCCAAATGTCGAAAGGAGGAGCTGTTCTTATGGTTTGTAGGACTTGTGGGAAGAAAGGTGACCACTGGACCTCAAAGTGCCCCTACAAGGATCTCGCCCAGCCAACTGAAACCTTTGTTGAGAACCCAAACCCTGCAGATTCTTCTGCAACCGGTGCTTCTGGTGCCACCAAAGGTACTTATGTCCCACCCACTATGCGTGCTGGTGCGGTTAGACCTACTGCTGGTGCTGACATGAGACGAAGGAATGATGAGAACTCGGTTCGGGTCAATAACCTTTCTGAGGACACCCGAGAGCCTGACCTGCTTGAGCTGTTCCGGCCTTTTGGCAATGTGTCTCGTGTTTATGTTGCTATGGATCAGAAGACAGGGATGAGCCGAGGTTTTGGGTTTGTTAATTTCGTGAGGAGGGAAGAGGGTGAGAGAGCTATCGCCAAACTCAATGGGTATGGTTATGATAACCTTATCTTGAGTGTCGAATGGGCTGCGCCCAGGGCAAATTAGTCTTTTTTCTTGCCCAAGTATGAATGTCGGTTTGTTGCATATTTTGAAATATGGTACCAACTTGAAGGATTGGTTAGTGTGCAAGCAAGATTTTGAGATTTCCTATTAATAGTTTTATTTGTAAACAGAAAATTAGATTGCACTTTTCCTTTAGTTCCTTCAGCAAGATTTTGTTAATCATGCCAATCTGGTATTTGTTAGGTTTGCAACAGAGCTGTTCACTACTGCTTGCTAAAAAGGTGGGGTTAGAAAACCACCTTTCTGATTGGTTTGAGCTTGACTCCAAAGGTTAAAAGTACCAGGAGGTTCTAGGTTCAAATCGAAGGAGGAATAAAAATCCCCTTGTGACCGCGGAGGTTTAAATGCGATGACTCCGTTCTATCTGCAAAGCAGTGGTCGTCCTAGGATTAGGTGGCTCGTATAGTGGATTGGATATCCAGGTTGATAAAAAAAGGTGGGGTTAGACAATAATTCTCCAAAAAATGTCTTGCCAAAAATTGCAAGTTATCATGCTTGTAAAAAAGGGTTTGAGCCTCGTTGAACAAATACTGGTTTAGGCTATGTTTTTTCTCATGGAGTACGATTCCTTTCAAGATGCCTTGGTGGTGAAAAGGTAGGCTTCGTGCTGCGACAAAGATTTCTTTGTATCTGGTACACATTGCTAGAAGTTTGACCTTTTCTTGTTTCATATGCTTTTAACTGTGGGTGTTCGGACCAGATTACGCATACCTCAACTAATCTTGGTGACCATCTAGAAAAGGCGCTTAGTAAGACTAGAACCGTTAGTCTCTAAGTAGAATCTCCAAAGGTTCAATCTTTATTATCAGTTGAGTTAAACCCATAAAGAGAAATTTATGTAGAACGATAGAGGGTCTTGTGATTCACATATTTTTAAAGAAGAAAGATAGAAAGAAGAAATCAGTCTTTGAAAAAACTGTAGGGGACAAAAATGTAATCCATTCTAAATTAATTGTGGTTCACTTTTTTTTCCTTAAATCTTTATTGAAAATATTTTAGTATTATTAACGTGAGATAATTATATCGTTCGTTAGAATAAATAATTTTTTTATGAGAAAAATAATTATGTTTTAAAGTTATAATATTTGAGATATTATTAAATTGAATTATTAAATAATTGTAAATAAACTATAACAATTAAATTGATATAAAAATCAAAATATTTTTTTATTTAATTAGTTAAGCGTACTTAAAAAATATTTTTAATAAAAAATTTCTTTAAAGAAAAATATGTGAATCATATTTAATTTTAATGTGAATTACATTTTTTTATCCCTATAATTTTCTCAAAGACTGATTTGTTTTTCTTAATGGTTGTTAATTGACGGTGTTAATCAAAGGGACCCTAAATATTATAAAATTAAGAAGTTAAGGACTATCAGTATAAATGGTTTGTTTTAGAGATCAAATTCAAAATTTAAACAAACCACAGGGACCACCAATGTAATTAACTCTAAAAAAATTCATCTCGCGTTCGAAAATTTCTCCGTGACATTACACCATATTCGAATGAGAGGTGTGTATATATAATAATGTCCACGCTCTCTCTCTCTCTCTCTCTCAAAATCTTTCCAGTTTCTTCTAATTTACTCTGACGACTTCTCGATTGTCGAATTCCATGACTTCCATCATAGAATTTGGTTGGACGGTATATCTTCTTCACTTATTGTTCATTTACTAGTTCAGTTTACGTATACTTTAGTGTACCCTAAACTTGATCTTATTGGCAGAGTATTTCGTAGGAATAACCTATTACGGCCAGTTCCAATTTATTAACTCTGTACAACATTGTGTTCTTTTTCTTTGTCTAACAGTATTATAAAAAGAGATTGGACCGATGAGCAAGCGAATATGTAAAATCAGTAAAGGAATGTAGACAAGGTGTTACTATGTTATTGTGCAGTGAATCAGTATTCGATACACATTCTGACTTCCTAATTGCGCCCAGAGTGTAGTACAATCTTTTGGTAATTGAATATTGGCCTTCAATATATCCAGTATATTTAAATGCATTATCACATAATGACGCTAGCTATCTACCCTAGAATCATTGCTAGTCAAACCAAACCAGCCTAGGTTTTAAAAGAATCATTACAATCCGATCCCATATATTCCACTCGGAATTGGAAGTAGTGTCTTGGCACAAACTTATCTCAATCACTCGGACCGATAGGTAGAATCATTACTGTCTATGAAGGCCAAATATAAGGAAATAATCTACAATACTGAATTACAATTTGTTTCCTATTATACTCGAACCGGAAACGAGTGAACAAGTGTCTTAAAATATGTATCAAGATAAATGCATTGCCCGTCTACTGTTGTACCATGAGTTGAGACTCGAGAGTGATAGATGTATTTTTTGTGCAGAATAATTGGAGAAATGCAACCCTACCAAATCATTTCCTCATCAACAATAAAACTCGCTTTTTTTACATTTTTAATGTATGATTTTAATATTTAAAAAGGGATGCAAATAACAATTTCCTTTTCTATGTGCAAACTTATTGTAAAGCTTTTTACTATTTGAAAAAGTTATTGCCAAAGCAAAAAAGTTATTCCACACCACCCTCTCATTGGAATAATAACTATTTTCATTTTTATCCCCTCTTTCAATATAATTTTTATTTTAAACCTTCATACATTTTGATTAATTCATCAAATATCTAGTACAAGGGTATCCGTACGATACAACGATATAAATCTTCATTTTAATATTTAGTTTTTATTCTGTCTTTATCGATATAATACGATTTTGTGTGGTTTTGAGAAAGCGACAATGTTTTTATTTTTGAATGAAATATATATTTTAAGATAACATAAAATTTTAAAAATAAAATAAATCAATATTAGTATAACTATTTAATAGCTCTCGTTTTTTTGATGTAGCTTCTTTAATTCAATTTTTTATTATAAGTTATTTTAGATTTAATAATAAGGTAATTTATTTTTGATTTAATAATATAATTTTATTATAAAGATAATAATTAAATATTTTGTTAGAACTCAATGATTATCTTAATTATATTTTAGATTTTTAATATTTAAAATGAATGTTTATCATGTATTTGATTATGTTTATCTGCAATTAGTTACACGAATTCAAAAACGAAGCTTTAATAAGTTGTACTTACGCAAAATTTTCTTGTAATATTGAACTTTAAGTAATATGCATCAATAAACAGTACTTCATGCATAAAAAATGGTTTTTATCAAATGTTTTATAATATAGTATAGATAATAAAACCAAATACATTTTATAACAAAAGAGAAGAAAATGTCGAAGTATTTTTTAAATATTGCTTTTTTAATGTTTTTAAAATTTTAAAGTACTTTTTATTTTACAAAAATTTATCGTCAACTTTAAAATGGCAAATTAAATAAGGGATTTTTATAAACTGTTTTAAATAGACGATGATAGATTATAATTAAGTTGATGAAATTTTTTTAAAAAAGGTTTTTGTATTAAAGAAAATTTATAAAAATAGATTTTTATTTAAAAAAAAGCATTAATAAAAAACTAATATGATAAAAGTATATGCATTGATGATGATAAATCACACCTTAGGGTTGGGTCACCATCATAGACATCTTATGACAAGAATCCTTCACTAGACATGTAACTTTGACTCCATTCTTGAATAACAACCAACTCTTGATGATTCCATTCCTAAGTTTGGTTAACAATGGAATGTAATAGAATTGAATTACAAAGATGTCTTTTGTTTATGGATTTCACCATTCTTTTACAAAACATATGGAATTGAATTCTATTCCATCAAAAAATTAAAAATGACGAAAATATCCTCATAACATCTTTAAACCCTAGCATTACTAGTTCACCTATCGAACAAATCTTTCCTTCTTCATTGAACGAACACCGGTTTCTTCCTTCATTGATCGAGTTGCTAGTAATTTTTTTCATCAATTCATTTCAATTCTGTTGCAAACCAAACAGACAGATTCCTATTTTGTTGCAAACCAAACAGACAGATTCCAATTCATTAAACATATTACATTACATTTCTGCCAACCAAATACTTGGTCACACCTGATAACATTTCATTTCAATTCCTTTTAGATTTCAATTCCTTTGAGAATATGATAGTTTTTCCATAAATCAGCATACAAGATTGTTGTCAAGTCAACTCAATTGGTTTGAGCTTTAACCAGTGTCCCATTCCTTGAAGCATCTCCACTGGCAAAAGTTCTTTAAAGACTCTGCCAATAAGCCATGATTAAGCTTGGTCTCCAGTCACAAAAAGCCTTTCCAACACTTTGAGCATGGAGAAAAAAAAGAGAGAGGGATAAAGCTTTTATGTAAGCCTTTAAAAGACTTGACTTGTGGGAGATGCATTCGGGTGCGGTTTACCAAATGTTTAGCCGATAAGTGTTTACTGAGCAAGAGATATCAACTCCACTTATCTTATATTTTCGGTCATCAATATAGATTGTTGGTAAGTTTCTTAAATTCGATAAACGCTTACTGGTAAGAGTATTTTCTCTCACTTACTGGGTAATACTCTCGGTACTTGTTGTGGCTCTCGGTCATTTTCATGCTCAATTGGTAAGAAAAGTGATGTCTGTAAGCGCTTACGCTGTAGGTATTAGGTAAACAGCCCTTACTTGAGGAAGTAGCAATTGTAGCATATTATGTAGGTAGTCGAGTCTTTAAAATTAGCATCAAGATTAATGAGCCGTTTATCAAACGCTTATTTTATCGGGTAATATTTTTTGGCTATTAAAATGGATTATTGGTAGGTATCTCTTATCCAATAAATGCTAATTAAGAAAGATTTTGTTTCTTCATTTACCTTGTAAGGTTCTTAGGGGCCGTTTACTAAACGCTTGCTTGGTAAATGTTTACCGGATAAATTTCCTCATCGGATGAACATGACAAGGGCCAAGAATCTTACCGGGTAAGAGCGATAAGAAGGACATAGAGTCTTACCCGGTAAGTGAAGATGACGACTCTTACCTAGGTAAGTGCTTACCCGGTAAATTGTTGCATTCGATACATTTTGATGTACTAAAATCTTGTGTTATTTGTTTTGTTAAAAGAAATATATAAATAAAATAAAATAAGAAAATATGAGTAATTCTCCATTTCCCCAGTAGGCCATAGGTCTTAGATACGTTCTTCCTCTCTATTGGA